GCTTGCTGTAGCAGGCAAGCTCCTCTCAGCCTGAACACCTGCAGTGCCTTCAGCAGTACAGCTGCAGTGGTTTTCTCATCAGCTCCTCATTACAGTTAACACTGGAGGCTTAGGATGGGTACTGGTAAATGGATGGAGGGGTGTCTGTGGTCTTATGCCCCGTGCACAATGATCAGAGGCAGACTAATCTCTAAAAGAATAAAACAGAATAAAGTGATTCAAATGGCATTTTTCCTTTGGTGGCTTACAGTGGCTTTCCTTCAGTGGTTGTGGATGTTTGCCTGCCATATACAAAGACAGCTAGGGGCATGCCCAGAGAACAGGAGAGAAGGAAGTTTTTAGGATAACTAGGTAGTTGAATGGCATCAAAAAAGTCCCTTAGGACAAGACTCCATCTGGATGTAACAGGTGCCTGGCCACAGGTAAGCCAATGCCAGGGTAAGTGCAGGAGGTGATGGTCTTTGGCCACTGCTATATGTTGCTGCATGAGCCTCTGCATACTCTCTGTCCATTGGAATTGGTGGTAGTGGATACTGAGGGAAAGCTACAGAGCAGTGCTACCACTGAGAGCTGCTGAGAGTTTGGTGTGGTGCCACCAGGCAAACAGCTGTTGATTGTACAGCAGGTTCACTCAGTGATCTCTAGCCTTCTCAAACTAGCTCTTTGAAAAGCATTTCCTGCATACTTAGGGACATAACATTGCCTGAGAGCATTGTTCTGCATGGTGCTTAGCCCATACCCTTCAAGACTGCCAGAAGCTGGGACATGTCCATAGCTGCTGAGTTTGCAGGTTTAAGGTGACACCATGTGTGGAGCATTGTCCTACTGTGGACACAGTGTTGGCTTCATCACTTGAACTGAGCATGCAGTGCCTACCTTTATGCCATGGCAGTACTGAGAGCAGAACAGTGATGAAAGTAAGAGTAGGTTTAAAAAAACCCCATGCAAATACATTCAGCTTCAAGCTTGAAGATTCTCATTTTTATCAGTCTTGAAGAAGTAAATTGTTTAATCATTTCACCTTTCCCTCTTTGTGTTGTGCTTTGACACACATTGTGTGTTCTGATGTCATGTGATGTGTGGGAGACAGATACTTTGATAGAAGCCAGAAATGTTGATAGAAGTCAGACACAGCTATGGTAGAGCTCTTAAATCTGAAAAGGGATGTGTGGTATCTGTACATGTGGGAAGTCAGACAGGGGAACAGACTAGTTGCTTACTGTCACAACAATGTGGAAGGAAGCAGATTTGAAAATCAACAAAGCAAGAGGAGGTAGGTCTGCAGCAGCAGGCTGAGCTCTGGCAGTGCTCCCCAAGCTGAGGTGGGTGTTGGGGACAGCTGTGTTCTAAGGGGAGAGGTATGTGTGCAGTGTCAAGTTCAAGAAAAAGAACTCCATTCCTTGGAACAGCACAAAGAAATACCAGCTGGGGAGAAGCCTAAGCCATAAAGTACAGTTCACAGGAGGGCAGTGGAGGAAAATACTTACTGTCCTGTTACAAACTCCTGGGCACTGTTGAAAATGAGGCACTGGGCTAGATGGACCTTTGGCCTGATCTGATGCAGCTGTGCTCAGTTATTGTAGAGCTGTCAAGGTATGAAGGTAATGAAGTAGAGAGTTAGAAATCTCACTGGTGGGGGTAACAGTTACATGGGAGAGCCATACAGGGAGCGAGGGCAGCCATGCTGTGATAAGCTCTTCAGCAGGCTATTCCACAGCACTCCTTGAAGCTAGTGTGCAAGAATGAGGCAAGAAGTTCATTTTTAGATGTGACTGAACACTCTTGCACAAACTTCTTTTGCAGAATTTGTGATGGAATGACTACATCATCCACAGGACTAATTTTGATTTTATTCTGGTATTTCTCAAATATAAAAAGTCAAAATTCTTACATCAATCTTTAAAGAAAATCCATGCAAGCAGGTCAAAATGTTTACAACTTAATTTGCCCTCCCCTCCCCCAACCCCTTCCCTTCAGTTTTCACTTCACAAACCATGTTGGTAAGTAAACCAAGTGTTTGCCTCTAAGTTTTGGTGGTTTTCTTTTTTTTTTTTTTTTTAACAGCACATTGTTAACAGACCATTGCTAGGCTAAGATTTTTCACTTCACCAATCTCTGTGCAATAGCTCAGTCTCTCTTGTGGTGTTTAAAAGCCCATCTGTTTCACTTTGTTCTAGCTTCACAGGATTTTAAACTTTAAGGCTATTTCTGTTTGGTACCTGCATAATCTAATGCTAATCTCAAAACCCAAGAGCCAGAAAAAGCAGCAGTACAAACTAGGCTTTTTCAAAATTGCAGATAAGAGCCTGTCTCTTCCCTTTCTTCTCTGGAGAACCAAATGTGGATAAACTGTACAGAACTTAAGCCATGAGAAAAATCCCAAATCTGCTCTGTATGAAATAAGTTTGGCCCCACCCAAGAGAGAAGCATGTAAAATCAAAATGCTTCTACATTTCAATTTATAGGTAGTGGGGAAAAAAAAAGACAAACTTTAGCCTTCCTAATCTGATTTTTACACAGACCCTTTCTGTTGAGATTTAGTGTCACATTTCATGAGGACTGAAGTCATGCCACTGCCTCTTTACAGGTATGGGGTTTTTTTCCCCATTGCGTAACTTAAGTGTTTCCCATTAACAATTCAGAGAACACTTATCTGTGAAAGAGAGTAGAAGTCGAACTAAGCAACAGAGCTTCATTCTGAAGGTTGCATAGAGACTGAAGAGATTTATACAACAACTGCTGTTTAGGAAAAAAAAAAGAAAATCTCTCTGGCACTACTGAACAGCTCAAATGTGTGTGACCAAAAAATAACCAAAATATTTATAGGCAATCAACTCTGAGTTTGTTAGCAACAGCAATACTGTACATTTTTACATTATTATCAAATACATAATTCAAGAGTTACAAAATAAGATCATGCATTACCACTAAATCTCATACAAGCTTGGATTGGTTTCATTCCAAGAATCTGAAATGGAGACAGAAGCATTTTTATTAATAAAAACCTCAAACTCTGGATTCTTGTTTTAGCTTTCACAGATCCTACATAATCTTGTTACAAGAAAGCCTGTACATGTTTGTTCAATTTAAAGTGTTAAAATGACTACTGAACAAAAAGAGCAATGTGACCAAACATAGTTAAATTATTCACTCTTTAAAGGCAGCTTTAGAGCCAGAGGTACCCTTACACACTGTGGGCATGATTTCTACAAAGATTAGATTCCTTTTAGCATGCTCAACACCTTGCTCTGTTTTGCCTGGCAAAGCAATGCTTTTGACAGACCATTCAGTTTAAAGAAGTGATCTGAGCAAATGGTGTCACAATCTCCATTAGGTTCAGTGTAAAGTATGCATACATGTGTTCACTACTGGAATATCAACACTCCTTCCCTAGCTTTGTCCACCATGAGTGAAAGGATAAGCTGTTGGCAATACTTACACCTTTTAGGTGCATTTGAATAGAGCTGTGTTCTTTCCAGTTCTGGAAGTGCCCTGGAATAGGACATCCAGGGATGGAAAAGTAGCATCCTACCCAACATTTCAGAAATCCTCAGGTTTGTGGCTCATGCCTCTTGTCAGTAGTATTTAAGCCTCTTCATAGAGAGCAGCATCAAGAGATCAGATCATCTGTCTCCCTAGTTTCAATGCATTTACATATGGCACAAGATTGGTTTTCTAAGGAGTAACTTACGGCAACATTTTTTCCTAAAAAAGTGTAACAGCACAAAAAAGTTTAATTTATAGCAGCATTTTACACAATTTGTGTTAAAAAAGTAGAAGTTAACCATTTGTGTATTGAGTAACAAAAGGTTTAAATTACATTTATTTTCCATTTTACACTCACTATTTACTAGTCAGACTATTTACAAAGGTTCAAATGTTGTGTAAGAGAATGAGCTTTACCCAGAATAAACTTCACATGTGAGGTAATGGTCTACCACAACCTGTTTTGGCTGACTATAGAGGAGGTACAGTTGGGTTTAGATCCTACAAAAATTCAGAATTAGGATGTTGATGTGAATTAGGTTGTGTTCTCATAGAAGAAACCATACACATACATACAGAGAGAGGGAGAGTATTCCTAGAGTAAAAACATTAAGACCAACAGTGGATTTAGTTTTCATCTTTTTGGCTGGAAAAAAAAGGAGAAAATAATTAAGAACACAAAAGTTGTAAGCTGTGCCTCATTTATTCCAGCTAAGTTTTATCAAGAGGACAGCTTTTACTTCAAGAAGCTAAAGCAATTGGTGTTAAAAGAACAACTAACTTAAAATTGTGGCTTTCAGCACACCCTGTGAACAAGGCAAAGCAGTATTATTTCTCCAGTAGTCTAAGTATCAACCCACCTGTCTCTGAGCCCAGGAGGTACCACTAGTAGGCTCCTGCAGGGGAAGACACCTCAACACGTGCTTGCTAACAGACACCTCTCATGTAAGGGTGCCCCTTGGGTAAGGCTTACTTTCCTCTACATGTTTCTGAATGACAACAGACTGCAGAACACTACACAAGATGCTTCTCACTGAAGTTCAGAAGTTTTTTGGGACTTCCAGCATATTTACACTGTGAACAACACACATCAAAATACTAAAAGGAAAAAAGTAGGGTGAGAGGAGTCCACAATGCTTCTTGTAGAAGTCTTCTGACAGTTCATCAGCTGACCATGTAATGAAACAAAGATTCGAGTGGATAGTTTTGGTAGCTGCAGGACAAGGTTCTGTTCTTGCTTTAGTTATACATTAGGTGAAGACTGCATAGGACAAGGCAACCTTTTGGCTGAGTCAAGCAGTGCTTAGTGTCTCAATGGGCCAGATGTGGTTTAGTGCTTTATTGTAGTCACACTTAATGCCTTCAACATGCCCATTTAACCAAATGGTGCCCTCTTAACATCTGAGCTCTTCATCTGCAGATAAGGGTTTAGTAAAAGACTATCTGCTCAAGCTTTTTTTCTAAGCAAGTACTCTTGTAGAACTACTGACTAAACCAGACAAATCTTAAATAAGCTGAACACCACTGAGATGCATGTTTTATTTTAGCGGATATGGAAATTTATATACTCAAATTTCTTTCTTTTAAAAAAATGGCCTAGTAAGGCAATTAAAAAAACCCCATATATGGCTTTGGTTTGCTGAAATACTATTTTACATTGTTAAAAAGGAAAAACACATTCAAATAAATTTGACATTATGACACGTTCACATATTTCACTTAGAATTGACAGTTATACAGATGCCTACATGTGATCACAGATGTCTCCCCTTGTGACATGAATAAAAAGGTAATCCAAATGTTTATCTCACAGTAGAGGGCAACCCAGAAGTCTGTGCAGAAGTGACATATAAGGAGTTATTATCTGGAAGAGGGGGAACGACAGAGTTTCCATTAGTGGGTGAACAGCTCAGTTTCAGTTTTTCCAAGTACTCTGCATGGACAGGCTTGTGACACTGCAGGACCTTGATTGCATCTTCTACTTTAAACCATTCTCTTTTCCTTCCTGAATGAGTATAATCCACAAAGAAAGAGAGTTACAAACTTGTAACAGTAACATTTGTTGATATCTGAACACTCACTTTTCCTAATTTCTTTTAATTTAGAAGTTCAAGTTCACAGGCAAAAGAGAGTGAAAAGACACTGAAAAAGCTGATGAATACAAGAGATTCACTGAAGCTCACTTGAAATGAAATTTCTAAGAAAGCCTTTCAAGATAACTGTTGAAGCAGATACTGGACATTAGAATAGACGACTGTTCATATGCTCCAAAAGCCAGACCTAGTCCTTAAAAAAAGGATATTATTAAAATGACTTAACACTGCCTTCCTACATTGCCATGCCTAGCACAAAACCAGCCTGAAGAACAAGCATGCATGCATGAAGCTGAAGAACAGCTTGGCCTGATTCAGAAAGCAGCATTCCATACTCAAAACATCCATGTAGAGCTACTCAGGTTAGCTTTAAATTTTAAAAAAATAATATACCTTATATCAGAGAGATTTACTAAGATAAGTTTTCAAACTCAAAACAGCCCTAAGACCATCTTTCTTAGCCAAGTAAGTCCTTTAAAATTAGAGGCCTCTGAAAATACCTGTAGTCAGGGTCAATGGTAGTATTGTTAAATGTGGGTGGAATCCCCACAGCTTTGTAGTATCAGAAGGAAAATATTCTCCCTCCATCTCAACAACTGAGCACAGTTTTGAAACTACCCTTATAGTTATATGCCATTTGCTGAGAGATTAATAGTTTGTGAATGTTAACTTTCCTAAAGCACCACCTCCTGAAAAAGTCAAAGCATAACCCAAGTAGGGTATAACTTTTTATACCAATTCTTAGTTAATTCAGATTTCAGTTAGGTCAGCACTGCCTCTACTGAAAAATAAGGCTAAAGTTAAAGTAAATACCAGGTTTTTTTGTTTTGTTCCTCCCTACCCCTGCAGGAGAATCAGGAAAATTACATTTTTTTAAAAAACACCCTGGAGTATCAGACAGCAAAACATTCTACTTTTTAGGGAAAAAATAAATAAATCAATAAAATATTTGGGCTAAACAAAAAAATTAAGAGCTGTATCAATAAAGTTTGATAGTAAATGAAGTTTAATTCTATCTTAATACTTAGAACACCTTAATTAAAATATAAGAGTAACACAGTATGCTGGCAACAACCCTAGTTATATGTGTATAAAAGCACCAAAGAACAGGATCACAATTTTTCAGTCATTTCAGTTTGCAGAACAGGATCAGCATTTCCCCTAGAATCATAGAAATTGCTTCAGAAAATGAAAGTTTGCTTAATACATTAAGTGTAGCACATGAAGACAGAAAATGGGTTTACCTATATTAACTGAATCCTCCCAGTCTTCCAGTATTTCCGTCACAGTAAGAACATACACGTATGTCCTGTGCTTCCGATCCTGGTTCTGCTTGAATATGAGAAGTAGACATTTTAATTCTCAGCAAAAAAACTAACTTGCAGACTTAACAAAACTGTAAGATTAGAAATTACTTGCCTCTGAAGGATATTTGCCTGTAAAACCTGGCTTTTACTTTTCACTACATAAACAGCTGTACCAAGTAGGCCCAAAAGGATGGGAAACTGTTTTACTAGCCTAGAAAAGCACAAACCACCTGAGCAAATTTGAAGATCATGAAGTTGGGACCCAACTATGTTCTTGGTCATCCAGTTTAATATTGGCAGCTGTCCACCAGCACTGCCCATTACTTATACGTATATATATATATACACATATATATATACTGTTACCACAGTAGAGAGCATTTGCTGAAACTGTTCCTAGATGAAAGGTTATTCAAAACACCTTTGCAAGATGGAAACACTGCATCACATGACCAGATCATTTATGCAATTCTGGATATAAAGTTTCACCCAGAAAGCAAGGTAAATTAAAGAGACTATGTTAGCAATCATGACAAATGCAAAAATCATTACCATCTGTTCACTCAACAGGTTTGCAAGTCTTAACACATGATTTTATCTCCTCTGGTCTAGATGGTGGTAGATGGTTTCAGAAGAGAGCGAAATTAACAAAGAATCATCATCCCTTGCCACCCCTGTTTTAAGGCAACAAGATGACAGGTATCCTGTCTTTTTTGCTCTAAAGTGGAAAATACTTCTGCAGATTAACCAGCAGAGTTAAAAGCTTTCCTGTTTCTACTATGTAGGACCATCCAGGTGTATTCATAAACCAGAAACAAAGCAGAAAAAGGGCACAGGTACAGTGAATCCTACTAATTACGAACAGGAGCTTATCACATTTTGTCATGGTTTCCATACTTCACTAACACCTCTAGCACTGTATCAAGTAGTCACAGATGACCAAGTACTAGCTCACATAGGAAATCCCTATCAGGAATACACTTCCTCCAAAAGTTGCTTTTATAATTAAAACTGTGAAGGTTCATACCCAACTACTAAACTAAGGGACTTCCGCTCTTGCCCAGCACAACCTGGTAATGTTGGATGTGTTATGATCTGGAGACTCACATATACATTTCTACAGTGTGCTCCTGTCTAAAACCTGAGCAGAACTGGGCAATGTCAACACTAAGAGTTATATCCCCTGTGCATCCTTTTGCTGTCACTAGTTCAGAGTCAGATGTTTACACTATGAAACACAAGCTTTGTTTTACATAGGTTTGCTGAGGTTAGATTTATCTGTAATCCAACACATTAGCATTTTTAGTGAATAGAAGCCATAATGAGATACTTCATATACCAATCTATCAGTTTAGGTGTGTGAAGTTGACAAGTTACTTCTGCAAAATTTAACTGGAGAGTAAGAATATTGCCTCAAAAGTGACATCTCAAATCTTAGAAATATATATTTTTTTCCTTTAAATGTCTAGATGTTGTCTGAATACAAATTAAACTCTTCAGGAAAGTTCCAAGTAGTTGGAAATGTTCCTATTCAAACCTTCACACATCATGTAACAACTGGAGGAAAACACTGTTCTAATGTACCATTTCCAGTAGCATAGCAAAACTGAAGGCAGGCAATACTTTAGAACTTCAGTATGCTTCTGTTGTGTAGATGTTAAGCTTCTGTAGTTTATCAGCTCTCACAAAAGAAAAAGCCCAACCTTTTGTTTTTAACAGGTTAAAGAAATAGCCCACCTCAAATATTCCAAGCAGTCTGCCTAGCTTTCCCTTTACTCCAGCCTACAAAACAAACAGGAAGAAGTGTTAGCATGTACTTTTTAATTAAAAAAACCAAAATATCAGTACCAGGCCCCTACATCAGCATAAGTGAATTACTCCTTTTTATTAGGGTTATTTAAGCAAGTGTTTTAACCTAAGTTTTAATTAGACAGTGCTGCACTGCCTCTAGAGTTTCTGATTTTAGAGCATTCGAACATTAGAACACAAAAGCTTGTCCTAATGAATGGATCAAAGAAGGCAAAAATATTTCACATTTTCCATCCATAACAAAATGCTGTTTTACTTACCATGTTCTTTGAGAACTATATTTTACTAAAGAGATTACATGAAATAATCCAGGGAAGTAGAGAGAAGAGGAGAATCTGAAGTAGTATAGTAATAAATCTAGAGAAAGAATCATTAGAACTCCACTGCTGTTTCTCACAAAAACTCAAGTCCAAGTCTCCAAAATACAATAAACTGTAGGTTACTGGGTGGATCTTGTAGCATAATGAGTTAATGCCAGCTCATTTTCATATCAAAATGTACCTTTCAGCATAGCTTTAAGCCAAATTTATAACCCCAATTCCCTAGAAAGTTTGTTGTTTTGTTTTTTTTTTTAGTTAGGAACATTAGAAAAGGCTTTAAACTTGGAGTTCTACTCTAACTTTTTACAACCACCCCTATGTGTATCAGACTGCACTTAATAAATTTGATGAATGCAGTTAAGGTGATTGTTATGTTCTAAGACTCTGGGGTTTCTTTTTGCAGAAGTAATATATAATGCCTCTTCCAAAAGAAGTAGTTTATGAACATCCATTTTTTCTAAACAAATCTGAGTCTATATGCCTGAGACAAAAGCATATGTAGTATATGGCTTTGTCCATTTTGTTGTATAGCATATTAAAAATAGGGCTTCTTAGCCCTAAGATGACCTTTTCCAGCCTTCAGTCGTTATTTCAAGCTTTAACAAAAGAAAGTTACTCATGCCTTTATGTAAAGGACCATATGGATCTTAATTACATTTTAATGAGCAATTCTGACAGATAGCTGGGCAAGCTTTAGCACTAAGTAATCAAGGTCTTACAAGTGAGTTTTCCTGTATCTTTCTTTTTAAAGAAAGCAGATGGCTGCTGTTATTTATTAAGAAGTTTTGATGAAGGAATGCTGATTGCAACCTCTGCAATTCAACAAGCATTTTGATTATCTAAAGGAAGAGCTAGTCTAAAATCTAGGACAAGAGCTAGCCTAAAGTCAGTGCAAAACTACATACAATATTCTTCTGGTCATCTGCTGTGATGACAGAGATGCCTGTGAGAGCTCATGAAGCTGGAATACATGACTGTACCTGCTAAGTGATTAGGCAGCACATTAATTATGAAAGTTATGGACTTATCTTGGTCTGATAGGGTCAGTTATGCCACAATAGGCACTACACTGGGTAACAAAAAAACATTTACTAGCCTACAGGAACACATGCTGAAGAGATGTTTTACTCATCAGTCCTAATTTCCTCTAAACTACTGTATTGTGAAAAAGAGATGCAGAATGTATAATCTATGTTTCTGTCCTCAGATTTTGCACTTCTTCTCATGTAGCAGTATCTAGGAATCAGTGTCCTTCTTTGTGGCAAACGAAACAACTAAAAAATGCAATTTTCTATCATCTTACTCTATTGAAAGTAATGAATCTGTGGGAATAGTCTTTTTTTTTCATAATTCAGGTGTTCCAGTGCAGTTTTAGCTGCACAAGTTTTGTAATTTCTTCCCCAAAGTTTCAGCAAAAAAAAAGGTTGTTTAATACCCTAAAGGTGTGGTTTAACAGCATGACAGCACAGTAGACTCTGCAGGGTTCTCAAATGTTAAGGAGAGCTTTTCCAAGTACCAAGGAACTGCTCCAACTCTCTGGTAGAGGGAGGCACAACCCCTACCCCCAAACCCAAACAAATGCCCCCAACAAACAAACTTTCAAGATTTTATAACTCTTTAAAAAATCCTAACCAAGGCCATATTTACTTAAAAAAAAAAGTCTTCAAAGCAGGCCTGTGGCAACAGGACTGCTGAAAGACAAGGAAACTCACCATCAAGAGATGCAGAAGGGCTGCCCTGAACTGCTAAATGGGAGTCTGACAATTAATTGCTGTCCAACACATGGTGTGAACACCAGGACCAGGTAAGTGTACAAATACAGAACAGCTTTCATAAAGAAGTTTTTTCAACTTACTAGTTCCCCATAGTCACATTGTGAATTTATTGATGTTACTTAACATGTAATTTACTTAACAACGTCTCTATTCTCCCTCCAAGCAGTGGTTTAAACAAGTACTCTTAGCTGAGTGATTCCAAATGAAACAATTAGAAACACTCCATTATACCAAGTGTAAAATTCCCCAAAGCTTGTAACAAAGCTTTCATACAACCAAATATTGCTATGCAAATTTGATTACTATGATTGATTCCTAGTCTCTAGAAAACGGTATATGCTTCCAAAATGTAGCATCATTCCCACAGATAGTAGCATCTTTGGAAACCTCTATACCCAAAAGTCTAAAAAAGTGGTAACTCAAGTCTCATGCCTTTTATCTGAAAGTAATGTATTCAATTGAATAATCTATAGTTTTAAAAGTACCATTAAACTGACTATTTTTAAAACTGCTTTTGCTAACAGAAGTATTTCCCCCAAGTTCTTAACACAGCTACTCCAAAACATGTCAAAATTAAGTGTTAGAGGATAAAAAAAATGCTTCATCTTTTTCCCCAGAAAGTCAAATGAAGTTCCCATTTTCACAGTTGTAAGTTTCTAATCCAATACATGGGTTTGAACTGTTTTTATTACTCTTTAAAAACCCAGCCTTTCTTCCCATGGCTGTCAAAATACAGTTCTTTAAGCAAAAAAAAATAAATAATCCTATAGGCTACAATAATCCAGTGAGACAGCCTAAACTTTGGAAGAAAAGCCTGACAAAAGCAAAAAGGGAAAAGTGGCCACTTCATCCCATAATCTCTCTCTGGCCTGGAGGTCATTCACTGTTGGCAGCTGTAGATGTGCTTGCAATCTCAGATGTGCTGCCAGACTTGTCTTTTTTTCCCCTGTAGATGGAGCAAGAGTCATGCTGCAGTTTAATTTTTAGGCTAACAGTCTACCAGAGCAGAAGGCTGCTTCAATTCTGAAAGATTTAAGTGTTATTTTTAACTGTGGAATCTATTGGATAGTACTTCAATGGCTTGGGCTCCTGAAGGCACAATGCAAGACTATTCCTTTCCTTTCCTGCATGCTCATATAAACCCCAAAGGGTTTAAATGTTCTGCCACAATGTTCCAGATGAAAGTGTTTTATTTATTTATTTTTAAAAGTATCTACCTAGTCCTAGTCTGTAACAGTCACTCACTTTACAAATATCAGATGCTCACTGGAGCAGATTCCTCTATTTCCTGTGAGACGTCTTAGATAGTATTACTGCCATTTTCACTATTGCAGCAGATTAACTTTCAGGATCAGCCTCTTCTCTGTATTTTTACACAGGTCTGGGAGGAATTGCCTGTTTTTTGGTAGGCATTTTAATATGCTACTAAGTACAAGCAAAGTAAGAGTGAGATGGAGGAAGAAAAGCAAATGAGAGTGAGCTCCTTCCAGAGAAGAGGCTGGAACGTCATCAGCTTGCCACCCTTATTATTTGTGTTGTATTCCTCTTTGAACATTGTATGTGCAAACAACTGTTATTTCCATCTTTCATGCTACCCAATTAAAGATGAAGCTCCAAAGTCCTTAACAGAGTAGCTCCTCATTTAGATGGGGCTCAATACCTTTCTGGGATTGCTTTGTACTTTAACTTCATTTTGTTATTTGATTTTCAGGTTTGGAAGGACTTACTGTACCTAACCAACTTGACAGGTTATCTTGATTACTGTAACCTGTCAACTGGCAGACAAACCTAAATTAATATCAATATTTAGTAGAGGCAAAATTACAAGTCACAAACATGACCAGAACTTATGGATAGAAAAAAAAAATCTGGAGTCATGCACACAGGCATGTGTGGGACAACTACAGTGTGTACAGGTTAGACTACAAAAATCTTTGTTTGAGTTTTAAAACAAGGATTTTAAATACATGACTGTTGGTGAACAAGTGAGGGATATTTAGAGCCAGTAGGCAATATTGTGAGCTATTAGCACTCCTACCATTCAGAAATGACATTACAACTCCCACTATCAGTTTCTCTATTTTAATAAATTACTGGAAACTGATGCCTAGTTTGTGCATGACCCAAGACTGAGGAAACACGGTTCAAACCAGTGGCACAGTGTGCCTCCTTTGAAGTTTACTCATTCACAAAACCCTTACAAGTTCACTGTACTGTAACCAGCTTGCTAGGTGACATTGACCTTAGTATAAAAATAGAAAGGACATCTATCTCTAGAAAGGTTAGTATGAATTTCCATGGCTCAAGTCAAAACCCCGAATACCATTCTGGCTTTTCTTCAAAAATGAACTACTTTGTTGTCTTGTGGCAGCACACAAGATTCACCTGTAGCTTAAGAATATTTTACTGTAGGGCAAGAACTTTTAATGGTTATCAGCTACATGAACTATCAAACCCTGGAAACTCTGAAGCTGTAGAACATGTGTGACCCAAATGATTTTTGCTTGCTAAAGCTTCTAGCCTTTGAAAAAATCTTCATGAATTTGCAAGCACAGCTTGGAACATGGCTGGCAGTTTGCATTTTACTGAAGAACACCATAAAAACAAGTATAGCCACTGTAGCAATAAAAATTAGCTTAACTTATGATCAAAATTACCCTGCTAGCACCACTTCAGAGCTTTAGATTTGCTGGGTTCTTTACCTTTAGAAACAGTTTCATGGTGTATAAACACTGATGATGCTGGCATTTTTTTTTAGCCATTTACAACATGCAGCTTTTCTATCACAAAGCCTCTTACTGAAATTTTGATAGCAACACATTCTAAGCAGCTACAGAACAGTATAATGTACAATACACTGAAAAGTAATCAAAGCATATGCCTAAGCCCCATTGTTACATGTAGCTGCACTAGAGCACTTGAACAAAACACAATCAAAGGAGTATGAGAGTGAAGGAGGCTGAGGTCTGTCTTCAGGATTCAAACCTATCTAGTGTTCCCGAGTACTGCAGTTCTTGACTAGAACTGCCACAACATAATGGAAAGTCTTTTCCTTTGCCCCGACAAAGAATTGAAGGCAAAACCAAAAATGAACTATGGAAGGACTGCTTCACATTATAACAGCAGGTACCCCTATTTTTAACTTTCTGATTTGCTGTATTATCCGTTTTTTTGCCTGGTGTGAGACGATGTCCGAAGGGAAAAAGACAATTCAGAAACAACTAACATTTTGGTATCTGTAAGAACCTGAGAAATTTGCAGTGTCTGGGTAGTGTGCACACTGATAAGGCTTTTAGATTACTGGAGAAATTTGTACTAAAGTTCACACTATATGATATATCATCCAGTAATATTCTGTAGCCATTCCTTAGCTATCCCAACTTAACCTTCCCTGACGCTCATGGCCCATACACTGCACCATTGCAAAAATTTGTGAGCAGACCTCCAGCAAAGCCAGGACTTAGAAGCATTCCCCAGAATATTCTCAGAGCAGAACCATGCATAGCAGAAAAACTATTTATCAGCCCCTAGGTCACAAGGCTCACAGCTATACTACTTTGCTACAAGTCAGCCTGAGAGGTTTGCATGTAGTGCTGCATTTCCTGCAAGCTGAGAAGCTAGAACTGCCCAGGCAGCTTTCAATAGTTGGTCAAAACCCCAAAGAAATTTGATGACATACTAATTGCAGACAGGTCATTTTCAAGACAATCCATTCTTCACCACCAGAGAAAAACCAAACATGACTACAGTTCAGTCATCTCTAGTTTGTAATGGAGATGAGATTTTACTATCCCTCACCTTGGACTGTGTCTTAGGTCAGATGAACAACTAAAACTACCAGTGTTGAGAACACTGAGCCAGTGCTCCTGTGCTCCTTAATCCCACCCATCAGCTCGTGACAGTGGGAAGCACCAGGACTTTCCCCAGAGGTGCTACTACTGCCTTTAATTCCTAGAAACCTAAGTCTTTGCTCCTTTGAAATGGCACTTGAATGCCTGCTGGTTGTCTCCTTTACTTTCATAAATACATGAGCACTTATCTGAGTGCATCTTGTACAGCTTAAAATTGGCTCCCCCAGCAAAATTAAACACAGACAGTGTCTGCAGAAACTATCAGCAAGGCCTACCTATGTTTGAACTTTGTTGCATGAGGACTGGTTAGAGCATTGAACACTGAATCACAGATCATCTATTTTGAAGCAGCACTGGGGCAAGCCACATCTACATCAAGTTCTAAAACCTCTACACACCAGCAAAACCAGCCTTAAGGGTAAGCAAGCTGAACTATTAGGTAGCACAGCTAATCAAAAAATAGTTTAAAAAAATCACTATATATACCAATTAGCAACAACATTAAGTGTGTTTTGTGACTAGTAGTAGTCAAATTGGGATAAGAAAACTGTGTAAGACTACCAGAAATACTGTAGTTTGTCTGCAAAGGCTTATACCTTCTATTTAAGAAGTAGGATATAAAGAATTAAGAGTCTATCTGTAGTCACTTATGCACTGCATAATTTTTAGCTAAATCAAGTGAATGTAATTTTTCTTTAGTTTTTTTTGGCATGCAATGCTGGCTGTTAGAAATTCAAATAACATTTAACATTTTTAACAGTTTGCCTGGGAACAACATAGTTAAAAAAATAGAAGTTTCAATTTGAAATTTAAGTATGATACTAGATGGGAAACTGTTTATTCATCAAGACTTAAACCTCTGTTTTGCCTAGGGGTAGGGCAGAGAAAGGCAGACCATACCTATGGTGTTTTCTTTATCTACAAGCAGCTTTAAATGAGGCCTTTTTTATTGTTGAATAATCTACTGCTTAGATACATCAGTTTGTAATAAGTTTAGTTCAGAATTTCCTCAGTGATCTGTTTATCTTATGTAGCAACACAGTAATGGTTCATTCACCTTCAGTCTATTCTAGAAGAGCTGCAAGTCAAACATTTTCTGCACAGATGCAGAAATGCTATGCTACTATAATACCTCATTTGGCATAAAGTCACAGTTCTGCTACCAGAAAGGGTTTATAAAGGCAGACAGAAATTTAGCTATGAAATGAAAGAACACTGGAAAGCAAGCTGGTTAGTTTAACCTCATCACACTACACCCCAATTCTAACACACAGAACTGCAGTTCTTTGAATTTCACAACTATGGAAGTCTCAGTCAAATTCTGGAAAAATGACTAGTAATAGGAGAAGCAGCTGGATTTTTTTTGTTTTGTTTTTGTTACCTCTTCATACACCTCTCTGACGGCTGCTCCCCCTGGCTCTTCTTCTGGTTCCATTCCTCCACCTGGTACGATCCACTGATCCGGGTATCTGCTGCTGCTCACCAACAGCACCTACAAATCATGGCAAATTATTGTTAAATAGAGCTCACAAGTCAGGAATCTTGGAGCCACTTACTTTTTAAGCAACGCACTGTTCACCAAGCCAAATGGATTTAGAAATGAAACACAACAGGTAACCAGTTGTAAGTAGGAAAAATAATTATTAACATCTAGTCTGTTCAATACAACCAAGTCAAAACAATGTCATCGTAATCTCCTTTCACAAACACTTTCATCAGATGCTTAGACACCACGTGAAAAATGCACAACATGATATGCACAAAAATGAAGATGTACAGCAAATACTAGTATTCTCCAATAACAGAGTAAGTCTTAGGGTTATACTGACAGAAAAGCATGAAAATTAAGACACTTTCATCACACAGAAGTTAAACTAATCCTTCTGAGATGGCATCTTTTGGTTAAAGAAATGGACTTCTGAAAATATTTCTGATTTTTAGTCTTAGACAAGCTTCTTTTCAATAACTGAAGCATTATGCTACCATGGTATGCTTACAGTATTGCATAACTGAATTATAAATTGAGTACTTCATTGGCCCTTGTCCAATTTAGTTTCTTCTAACATTTCTCTAAGAGGAAAATATGCAACACATTTAAATTATTTCTAAATGTAATAAGGATTTCTTTTCCAAGACTCTTTAATTTCACTTTCACTCTGTAACCAGACCATACCATTGATATATTCCAATTAAAAAACCACTTTCTGTAGGACCCAGCCTTCATAATATTTAGAGCTGAAAAGATTTGGCCACCTGTCCAACAAACTAGAATGCTCTGTGTCTGTCTTGCAGTAGAAGAAATGAAAATAAGACCTAGATTCAGGACCTCATGGAAATAAACAGTGTAACTTGTATTTGAGACACATCCTAATTAGTAAGACATAATCATCTGTGTAATAACATACTTCACAGGGTACGCAGTACCTACATAAGCCCTACCCTAAAGTCAAAGCACAACTATGAAGAGCAAAGGGACAGCATCAGTGCCTGAATCTTTAGAAGCAATTAAAAGACCAGCAACAGGAACCTCAGTCTAAAGGTTAAAGTATCCACTGGTACCAGATGACTGAAGTGACACCTTCCTTTATGGCCTTTAAACTCATCTGTTGGCTTCAGTACAAAAGCAATTCCCTGACAAGGGCAACATAGAAATACTTATCATTTATACTGTCCATCCCTTCAGCACTCATGGAAATACAATGTAGCTTCACCAACACAAACTAGGAGTGTAATTAAGATGACTGCCTATCTTCATGAATGCAGCATGTGTGCATGCTGAAATGTACCTAGAAGAGCCTTATCCGACAGGTAATTTCTTGTTGTAGTGCTTGTTTTATTTGCAGTCAAGATTTGTCCTACTCTGAAGGATTCTCCACAATATTGATTTCCCCCAATTTTTTCCTATGGTAAATAAGTAACATAGCAGGGACCTCATTTAGTAGAGAAACATTCTTAGCATCTGATCTAATTGTTCACATTTTCAATCAACTCTATTTTATTCAGCTACCTAAAAACCAAGGAATAGTTAGCAAAGACAACAAGGTTGACACAACTGTATCTCAACTTGATCCTTACAACCAAAGGTTTTAATTTCCTAGCATTTTTTGATATTAACAGAAGATGCTTGGAGTGTACACAGTTACACTAAATGTAGTTTAGGCAGGTTTTGAACACATAGGTGGAATACCTATATCACTACAAAGAACCACCATGTTGGCAATCCTTAACAAGCAGCTGTAAAAATCAAGTTATGAATTCACTTGTGGGATCCCAGACATAAGCATTACAAATTATTTTCTGCTGATGAAACTAGCACTCACTGCAGTCATGTGAAAGCTAGCAACAATGATGAACAAAAGGATGATTATATCACATTAAATCATTCCCAGCTTAGTAGAATGGTTTTAATAAGCATTCATTGTTTAGTCAAAGCTAAACATAACATTCTTAATTACTACTAAGGAACAAATCAGGTTGCTGGTTCTGGCAGTGCAGCATAAAGCCATGAATTTTTTATGCCTTTATATATAGTTTACTACCACCAACCTGATCAATAGTCTATTAAGCCAGGTTTGTGTATCTATTAGCTTTAAATTACCCTTTTAAAAAGCAGACACAAATACATCCAGCAAGTAATCAGCATTAAAATACATACATGCAATAAACTCCCAGATGTTACAGCCTGTGAGTGCATTTTGGCAACTCTCCAAGTCTCCACAAACCCTGGAACTGAAGCATTTTCTTAAGCATCTTTCCCTCTATGCTTTATTCTCCTGTGATCCCATTGACTGCACCAAGGTAGATCCCCAGGACCTTCAGATGCGCATTTTTTTTTCTCTCCTCCCAGTAACATTAACACTTGAAGCCACTAAGGCAGGAGGCATCCATCCTAGGGTAAGGTAGCAAAAAGGTACTAAGCGGTAATGAACTGCTACAAGATCTGAGAGGTGACAGCCAGCAATTCTAAGATTGTGTGTTAAGGCTGAAAAGCTCTCAAACAGATTATTTCACAGTTATGGTAGCAAGCAATGGTGCATTCTCTCCCACATTTTTGTTTGGATGCTTTTATTTCTATGTAGCAGATGTAGTTTTCAGGTATTTCCATCTCTAAGTGGCCAGTAGACACATCCCCCAGTACCTGAATGACAAGGCTGTTAATACACAGATTACCAAAGACACCAAAAAGCTATGGGTGTTTGACAGTGCACTCAGATACCAAATGAGGAGCAAAAATTAGCAGCTAAAAGGCAGCAATTCATCTTCCCTTAAAATAAGCTAGCAACAATAACATATCTAAGGTCACCTGGACATCCAGCCTTTTGAGGAGGTTCTTGTTCACACAAATTACAGCAGTTTACTGAAAAACAAGACTGCAGAATCTCACACCTACATTTTTTCTGGCCTATACACATGAAATTTTGTATCATAACCTCCCTAGGCTAAGTAGAAAATAATGGAAATACTTCCCATACAGAGAAATCTGTATCCCCTATCTCTGAGTGCAAAGGAAGGACTGAGATTTCTTGTGTTGTATAACATGGTAGTGATACTGCCTATGTCTCTGAAAAAGCCTCACTGTTGATGACTCCTGTTCAAAAGATTTCCAAAGTACAGAGCAATGGCAGCAAATCTGCTTGCCTACTTATACTATTAAGTTTACCTTACTCAAAAGACTAAGGTAAAACTATTCTTTTCCATAATCCTGGCCAGTGAGGAAGTGAAATTCAGCTAAGAGGAAAAGAAAAATTCTTCCATTAAGTCTTCCTAGCCAAGTTTTTACCTTGTTTTCAAGTCCAGAAATAGCAATGACCTTTGAGTGCAGTGAGGAAGAGAAACTGCTAGCCAGCCTACTTGTAATAAGCACCTATTGATATGCTTAACCAAGACATGGTTAACCAAAAACCCAAAGGTAATTACAGAGCATGTGGCATCATGGGACTTCCTCACTCACTATAAATGCTAAACCTGCAGACAACCAACAAATTTTGAGAGAAAGTTTCCAAAGTTCTGGCCTGTTTAGTGTTCTCAAGTAAAAAACCACGAACAAAAACAAAACCAAGTTGCAAGATAGTTAGCAGCCATATATTCCAGAATACCAAACTGGCAACAGCTCAGAGTAATAAAACTTACAGTCAAAAGCTATTCCTTTTTATATTTTTTTTCATATCAAACACTCAGAGGTAGAAAATTAATAAGGTTATACAAAGTATGCTTTATCTTACTTAACTGTAAGGCATTATAGCTTACAGAAATAAATGTATTAAAAATAAGCCTACATTATAAAAGCAAACAAAGTTAAGATTGTTAACTCCCTAGACAGAACAAACCCCCACAGCTGGATTCTTCTGACTTCAGAGCAGAGTTATTCACAACTTGAAGTAATGAGACAAGAGCAGCAGAAGCCACTATAAGCCAACTGCAAGATGGGAATTTTTCCATAGCAGATGTATTACATGCAAGGAAAAATGCAACCACAGCTGAAAAGGTACCGCTCCAGTTCCACATAAATTACTTGTCATTGGATGCATTTGTCAGGTCTCTCCTCCCAGCCTAATCACACCTATTCCTCTCGTCCCCACTGCACACCCCATTTTTGCCCCTCTTATCATCCCCACTAATCCAACAGCTATGTCCAACTAGCTATTTGAATTACCTGATGAAGCCAGCTAAGCTTCCCTTTTTTTTGTAGTAAAACTTGCAGTTAAAAGGAGAAACTTTCAAGAGGATGGGAATCAACTCCTCTCCCCTTAAAGACCATTGAGCACATGTGGCTCAGCTGTGAAGAACACCACATTGCTCAGGTGTGTGACTGAACATTGCACAGCAAAGAAAAGGGTAAGGCAGGTGCATGGAAGACAAAGAGCTCAGCTCCCAAGCTCTACAAAGCCAAGTGCATGTGAAAAGTTTCAGAAGCTTTAAACTGGTTAAACTATAATAAAAATATATATATGAAAAATCATAAGGGTGGCAAGAGGTATCTCTCAGGTAAAAGAAACTGTCAACATGTTACTAAAGAGAACAGATGAATTATACGTATGGCCTCATAGGTGTCAGAAACATTAAAAGGGAAAAAAAAAACCCTAACCCTATTCTGAGGAAACAACAGGATGCAGTTTGATGGAAGATAGTATAATGTAACCTTTCACACTCAAAATGGAAAGCTTCAGTCTATGTGGTTGGTCTGCCAAAGTTACCAGCACCTGAAAGAGTCCTAAAGATGCTTTAATCCAAATATAGCCAGAAGGGTCAGTCAAGCCCTATGATTTGTTTGAAAACAGCCATAAGCACATGCTCAGGGAAGAATATGAACAGAAATATTTCTCTATTCCCTAAGACTTCCAACTTCAAATTTTTTTTCAGCTCAGGAGCTTCCTTTAAAGAACAGGGAAAATACTTTGAATGCCACAACATGGGAACACTACCAATGAACAAGAAAAAACATCTCTTACAAACCCTATAAAAAAGCCAACTGGACCATACCTGCAG